CATGCCTGTAATCCCAGATACTGAGGAGACTAAGATCTGAGGACTGTGGTTCGAAGCCCAGCCCAGGTAGGATGTTCATCTCTAATTAATTACCAAAAACAAAACAAAGTGGAGCTGTGACTCAGGTAGCAGAGTACTAGCCTTGGGCAAAAAAGCTCAGGGATAGCGTGGCAACCCTAAGTGAAAGGAAGGAAGGAAGGAAGGAAGGAAGGAAGGAAGGAAGAAGGGAGAGAGGGAGGGAGGGAAGGAGGGAGGGAAGAAAGAAAGAAAGAAAGGAAGGAAAGAGGGAGGGAGGGAAAGAAGTCATTAAGTAATCTTTGACACTATGACCCAGTTTAATCGTCAAGCTCTGAAACATTGAAACTACATTTACAACTCAGAGCTCCACTAAAAGGACAAGGCTGAGAATGTCCTTCCTTCCTTTCTTTCTCTCTCTTTCTTTCTTTCCGTTCTTTCTTTCTTTCTCTACAATTCAAAAGGAAACTTGGCCAAGTTTTATGGATGAAATAGAATCTTAAAGTTCAATGCTCTAGCCAGGTACTAGTGGCTCGGGCCTGTGTTGGGGCCTTGGCCCTAGTACCCTAGTACTGGCACCAAAATATTAAAAAAAAAAAAAAAGTTCAACATTCTAAGTAACTAGGGGTATAGAGACAGAACATCTGTGTCCCAATACAGTTACAGAAAGTGTGCAAATGGCACCATCTTCATTTACTTGCTGTATAAGCAAAACGAACTTATGTAACACGCTTTCCTTGAGTGTCATACACTTTGCAGCTACATGAATGAACTTTTTTTTTTTTCTGAACTGAAGTATGAAGTTTAGGCAGAGCTCTACCACTTGAGCCACACCTCCAGTCCTTTTTGCTTTTACTTATTTTTAATATAGGGTCTCACTTTTGGCTAGAGTTGGTCTTATACCATTCCTCTACCTCTAGCTCTCAAACAGCAGGAATTACAGATATGGACCTTCCAGACCTGGCTTGTTAGTTGGGATGATATCTTGATAACTCTTTATCTGAGTTGGCCAAAAAAAAAAATGGAATCCTTCTAATCTCTACTCCTGATTAGCTAGATTTCAAGCATGAGCTATTATATTCAAATTTTACTCTTCTCAGATAGAGAATATGAAACAAAGAACATGTAACTTCTTATGGTTACAGAAAAAGAAAAGGACAAGGGTTGCAAACTGTATCTTCTCACTTCTGGTCTCATCTGCAAATAATCCATTAATCCACATCAGAAACTCATAGGGTGATTCACAAAGACAATATTTCCAGTTTGTCTCAACATCTTCAAAGTATGCAGAAAGGTCAGAACAACCTTTTACAGCTTTGATTTCCAGTGTGCTTCAACTCCAACAGTAAGCTCTCATGGCTATGTGCTGGCTAACTAGCCCTCCACATCGTTGATATTCCTGGGAGCAGGCTTCCAGTTCACTGCTCTCCTCCAGCCTGACAGCACAGTGGCCTGGAAGGGAGAGGCAGTCACACATAGCTGCTCACCTAGCTCTCCACTACCTCCTCCACAGAGGGCTCTGGACCGAAGCTAGAGATGGCACTGGCTCCAGGAGACCCAGGCCAGATTCAAACCAAAAACTGAGCAGAACCTGTCACGTGCTGAGTTTTACTCCTTTTAGAATTAACCTTCAAGAACAAAGAGCAAAGACGCAAGCAAATAGAAAACTGATTTCTTCAGCATAGACAAGGACAGCAACCTGGAAAAGCAGGAGCTTATCTTCCTTAAGTTTTGAGCTCCACTAACCTCTCTGATGTGCCAAAATATCGACATAGAGCTAGGCGCTGGTGGCTCACTCCTGTAATCCTAGCTACTCAAGAGGCTGAGATCTGAAGACCGTGGTTCAAAGCCAGCCCAAGCAGGAAAGCCCGAGACTCTTATCTCCAAATCACCATAAAACCAGAAGTGGAGCTGCAGCTCAAGTGGGAGTGCTATCCTTAAGCATGAAAAGCTCAAGGACAATGCCTAGGCCCTGAGTTCAAGCCCCAGGACCAGCAGATACAGGTACAGGGCGCGCATGCACACGCGCACGCACACGCGCACGCACACACACACACACACGCGCGCGCGCGCACACACACACACGATTTTACATCCTTTAAGATATCAACCTTTCTTAAGGAAAGAAACATTGTTGAACAGGGGAAGAAGAAATGACATTACCAGGTTGCTCACTCACTTGGCAAGATTCAAGGACATCTGTTCTCTCATAGCCACTCACCAAAACATGTAATGGGGCTACCTTGTCACCCAGGAAGTGGGAAGATGGAAAAAGAGACACACAATGCCAAAGAAAGATCTATGGTGTAGCTTCCTTTGATCCTCTCTGATCAAAAGATAAAACTATCTTATTTTAGAAGGAGTCTACATGTATTTGTTTGGTTTTGGGTTTTTTTCTGATGTTGGTTAAGAGTTCCCTCAGAATTAAGAAAGGAAATATTTTCATTTTGCTAAGGGCAGCTCTCAAGAGAAAAAAATATAAAGTCAGGAGCTCTATGCAGTTCATAATCTACATCCAAACCCCAGAGTTTCAGTGAGATATACTTCAAGATAAGAATCCCTGAGAGGTGTAAATGCTTCCTTTCCCTATGTATAGCAACTTCAGCAACTTAGTAACAACTCCTGGAATACTTGGTGAGGAGGCTGAAGGCATTGGGAGGTCAGGTAAGATAGGAAGATAGAAGCTACAAGGACACTACTTTTATCTGGACCTTGGAGTTGCAAAATGAGATGTTAAGAGAAGAGTTTATCACTAACAGAAGGGAAGCTGAGGCTGCAATGTGGCTTAACTGACAGCTCATGGGTAAGGAGGTCAGTGAGTAAACACTGATTTCCTACTCCAGTGATCTGAGACGCTGCCGGGGTGCTGAATGCCATGGAGACAAACTCAACAGCCTGACAGTCATTGCAGGGCAGAGGCAGAATTCCAAGAGTCCCTTCTGGAGGATGCTCACACCTCCTTATGATACATGGATTTCTGGAAGTCCCTGGACTTGTTAAGTAGACCACCACTGATATCAAAAAAGAATAGCTTACAGAAGCACCTTGACTTATGTTGGTACTTGTATCCTGAGAAACCCAGCCTAAGTTTAAAGAGCAATAAGTGAAGACTACTTTTAATACATTTAACCTACATCTGAGCTGAGCAGAACCACACACTGTAGAATTCTGATCATGTGGCTGAGTAGGAGCTGTGGTCAGCTGTCATTAACAGCATTGCAGGAGTGTCCCACACCATACATGGCTAGCTCAGGGAAAAGGATAACATCCACCATTCAAAATTCCAACTATGCACTTGTTTTAACACTAAAAGTGTCATAAAAAGAAACACACACACACACCACAACCAAAACCAAAAAAACCTAAGCCATCCTGCGTCAGTGACTGTCTTTACGTGTTACTGGGACTATGAAGGGAAGAAGGTTGCAATTTCACAAAGGAGCATCAAACACTGGCTTAGATGAGAGACAGATGGTCCCTAATAATGTAAAATCTGAACAAGGCACACCACAGAGGCCAGGAAACCCAGTAAAAGGGAAAAAAAACAGTTGGAAAGAGCCAAAGGCAAAGTGTAAAGTATGGGAGTTGCTGGTTACCCAGAAGAAGTAAGTACACTTACCAAAGGGAAATTCAGGAAGGTAGTGTAAAAAACACAATCACATGCACATTAATGTGAGTGGAGGCAGCACAGAAGCTTGTGTTAGGGTACAGCCACACTCTTATTTCTATACTTTTACTTCTTCTAGTTCTAAAGGACAAGCTGAAAATGCTTGTGGGGCCTGGGGTGCTATCCTTTACATTTATTCCTCAAGGCGAGAGCTCTACCACTTGAGCTACAACTCCACTTCCAACTTAGGGTGGATGATTGGAGACAAGGATCTCATGGACTTTCCTGCTATGGCTAGCTTTGAACTGTGATCCTCAGATCTCAGCCTCCTGAGCTGCTAGGATTAATAGGTGTGAGTAATAACAGGTACTCAACTAGGAAGTTATTTTCTTCCCTGGTGCTTCCTGTCCACAAGTTTCACAGCTGTTTGTGAATCTTACTCCTAGGTTCCACCTCTCTGTCTCAGCACAGCCCAATACAGGATCATCAGGGTCACCTGTGGCTCAGAGGGGTCAAGCAAACAACAGTTAAACCTTCTCTCTGATGCTCCTCCCCTCATCAGCAGAGCCAGAATCTTCAATACTCCCAAAGACACTCATCTGATCTTTGCTTGGAATTTCTACTCATCCACCTCTGATTCAGCATGTCTTAGAATAAAAATTAAACCTAAGAGGAGACCTCTTACTGGAGGGTAATAAGTTGTAACAAACAAACAACAAAACTCATGCAGTAGACAGATGAGAGACTGTAGTCACAAAGAACAAGTGGATGTAAAAAGGCAATCAGGCCAGTCTGGGCCTGGCATTGAGGGAAAAAGGCACATACCATGGGATTTACTATAATAGGAGTGATCTGATTTGTCTTTACTGTCACCTTGGCCACCAACCACCATGCTCCAACTAAGTTCTTCCCCCAACTCGTCTCCTTGATAAGAAGGTGAGATCCCAATTCCACGAGCCAGGAGCATCTCAGGAAGGGAGGCTTTCTGGCAACTCTGAGTGGCTCTAGGAATCTGAATCCAGCTTTCTAGGGAAGAGCAGGATGTAGTAACATAGTGGAGAAGGCCCACAAGATACAAAGGAGCTGGGTCACTACTAGCCTGGAAAACTAACAACCCACAGAGCATTTGACCAGTTTTCCTTTTCAAATGAGAAATGTATCCTCAGATTTTAAAGATGCTCAGATTTCTGGAATGGTGTCCATATTGGAAATGGTACATGTGTTCTTATATATAGGATGGTTGGAGTTGGTACCAACTGGTATCCATACCATCCCATTGCAGAAAACATAGGACAATACCAGGAAGGAAAAACTAGTTAGTGACATCTAGAGTTTGGTGCTGGGTACTAAGGTCATTTTAATTATGTGCCAAAATTACCTTTGTCTGTTCACTGTCTGGGTCTTCAAGCCAAGCATAGGGGTCACAAATCTTATGTCCATGATAATCTTGTACCTGCAAAAGACAAAAATCACATGTTGAGTAATTAGAGACTACACTCAAATTAAAACTTCTGTTTTCTGAATGTAGTGAAGAGGAAAGGGACCTCATTACTAATTGGCTCACTGGCAATATTGCCCAAATTACTACATGAACCAAATGTGGCAGGTTCTCAAAAGGTATCAAGCCACTCCTTATAAAAGATTGTTTTAGCTACAGAGCAAAGAAATATGAAAGGTCTGAATGGGAAATGGCTCAGTCTGTACAACACAAAACAAAGGCCCACCGGCTGTGCTAAAGAAACTTGAAAATGTGCTATCAGGGGCAAAGCACAGAAGGAGACAATGTCGTCAGCACAAGAGGACAGTCTGGAGGGCAGCTACCAATATGTGTGCATGTTCATGTGCTTGTTGCCCATGATGACAAAGTCTCCAGACAAAGTTTGCTTTTGTTGGTGGTGGTTTTGTTTTTTTGTGTGTGTGTACCAGTACTGGGGCTTGAACTCAGGGCCAGAAGGCTCTCTCGCCCTTAAGCTTTTTCACTCAAGGCTGGTGCTCTACCACTTGGGGCACACCCCTAGTTCCAATTGAAGACTCTCACCATCTTTTCTGCCCATGCTGGCTTTGAACTGCAATCCTCAGACCTCAACTTCCTGAATAGCTAGCTAGATTACAGGCATACGCCACCAGCACCTGGCTTCATTTTGCTTTTAGGTCTAAACTGCCAAAACCAAGTTATTACTATATGGTAAATCATGATTCTGACTCACAGGAATGAACCCATTCCTAAACAAAAGCTCTTCTTCTCTTTGTACTATTTGAAATGCCTTTCTCCACTGTTTATGAGAATAAAGCACAAAACCCTCACCTGTTAGGACTACCTTAGCAGAAGAAATAAAATGGTGTTGTGTCAGCAGAGCCTGGCTGAGGAAAACTCTCTGAAACACCCACTGGGGAAACTTGACAGTACAAATCCCCAGGGACCAGTGGAGGGACTAGGAAGGAACAAGTGGACCAGTTTATCATCATTCTCCAGAAAAAAAAGTCATTAGAAAGACTTCAACCTCATGGAGTCGAGATCACTCCAATCAACCGAGACTATGTCTCTCCAATCAAGTCTCAATGACCCTAACATTCTGGCTTAGGCTTATACCAGGCTACAGGGACAAATGACTTTTTAATCTGTCTCCTACTTTTATTCTGTGTGTCTGAATGTGTATGCATTCTATTCCCCCTGTACTGGGGCTAGAATGCAAGGCCTTGTGCGATGGCTGATCCACCTCTCTCCAAAAGCTGGCACTCTACCATTCGAGCCACAGCTCTACCTGCAGCTTTTTGCTGGTTAACTGGAGATGTCTCTCGGATTATGTGCCCTGGCTAGCTTAGAACCAAGATCATTAGATCTCAGCCTTTTGAGTAATTAGGATTATAGGCGCAAGCCATCCCTGTCTGGATTAGCTTTATTCTAAAGTAGCAGAAATTAAAGAGCTACTCCCTGAGGAAAACAAACTCTCCTGGAAAAGCAGTATCTGAATGTTGTTCCTGGAGCTACACAAAGTTCCAGCGTGATCCCTGCCAAGTGAGACCATCTCTCTGGCCTACAACACCTGGCTTTCTGCAGGTGTCCTCTGACGCCACATGAGAAAACTCACAAAAATATAGAGCTCTGGGAGATGCAAACCTCTGAATCTATTCTCAAATGATTGACCAACAGGAGCAAGGGCTATACAATCAGACTAACCTTTTTGGTTTTGTTTAAAAAAAAAAAATCACCAATTTTCAATCTTGTCTCTTGTCAGTTTCAGTTGATTATTGCTAAATGAAAACTTTTTAATCTTTCCTTCTCATCTGCAAGTCTTTTATACTTTACATACCTGGAAATGGCCAGCAAATAGCCTAAAATAACAACGTTCATCTTGTCAATATGGAAATCAGAATAATTTAACTCTGTAAAGGATCTTCCAATCTACCATTTTGGGAATGCTGGCAGCCCAGGATCATCTACACTCAAAGCCAGATTTGGGATTAAAACAATCAGCTAAACTGGACACTGAGGATCATGCCTGTAATCCTAGCTACTCAGGAAGCTGAGATCTGAGGATTGTAGTTCAAAGCTAGCGTGGGCAGGAAAGTCCGTGAGACTCTTATCTCCAATAAACTACAAAGAAAGAGACAGAAGTGGTGTTGTGGCTATTGTGGTAGAGCACTAGCCTTGAGCACAAGGAGGCTAATGGACAGCACCCAGGTCCTGAGTTCAAGCTCCAGGATTGGTAAACAATACAAACAAACAACAACAACCAGCCAACCTCACACAGACCAGGCACTTTTTTCAGGCATACTAGAAATCTAATTTTCTTTTTACTAGAATTCACAATAAAGCTAAGTGACGGTGCTGCCAAAGTGATGAGTATTCTAATATTCACCACCTGGTAAGAAGGTTGTTGATGCTGTTTTACAGATTACAAAACCCAATTTTAAGAAAGGCAAAGGTCAATGGATTTACTATTTACACAGAGCTAACTGTGAGTTAAATATTATGCCATAAATTTCATTCACATTAACTCATCTGATTCTCGCTGTGAAGTTATTGACTCATTTTTCCAGATGAGGAAACCAAAGCTGGAGATAGCTAAAAGCAATTGTCTAGGGTCTGAGGGTTAGTAAGTGCTGGGATTTAACCCACCTGTGGCTCATCCCAAGGCCTGTGGATCCAATTTTGTGCTAAGTCACTCAGCTAATGAACCTGGCCAAGTGTTCATGCCATGGTAGGTATGTGGCTGGATTCTGACTCAGAACCCAATGCAGCAAGCACCAAGCTTGCTCCTGAATGATTTTTTCTACTAAGGAAATACCTCTGTCATCTGAAGTTGTACACAGTCATCTAAAGCAGACGCACATCAGTTACTAAAAAGATGTTTAACTAAAACAGGGAAGAGGCTCCCTAGAGCACTAGGCAGCTAATCTCAGAAGCCACAGCCCATGCTGTCCTCATCAATTTTGGTATTTCCAGGTGCATATGCTATTGATGGAGTAGTCTTATAGCCATGACACTGGAATCCAAATTACACAGTACCTAATTCCTCCACTTGACCTAATTCCTCCATCTGAAGAATTAAGTTTGCAAACCATTCCTCACATCCCCCCAGGAGGCTTTAAAAGAAAGCCTGTACTACTTTATCCTGTTCCACAGTTTGCTTCTACCCTAGTACCCACTGCCTTAGCATAAAGTCAGATGCACACAGCAGGTGAGGCCATCAAACCTGGCTCCCCACTCCTCAGCCCTATCCAAGCTTATCCATCCACAGATGGTGTGATCGCTAAGTCCTTCCCGCCATCCTACAAACATACACAATTTCTATTTGTCTAGCCCTGCAAAACTATGGCTATACTTTCGTCTCAGGGTCATGAATATCTTTTCTCCCTTATCCTGTTAGACATCTCCCCATGATGAAAGTTAGCTGCAACCTTTCCTGTATCCTCCTCTTACCCAACACTCTTTGCCAGGTTGTGAGCTCCTTGTAACAGGCCTGAACAACACTGATGGAGAATGGTGAATGACAGAGCACAGGAAGAGCCATAGTTTCCAAATTTCTAGTCAAGAAAGCAGAAATCCACCAAACGGGTATCATGCTCCAACTGCACATTCTACAGGAGATTGCTGAGCATGCAGCTGAAAGATGCTCAAGGGAGAGTCTGATCTACAACCATCTCCAGCATATGCTGGTGAGAAACCCATCCTCCAAATCAAAGGCTACAATTTAAGCAAATGAATAAGTGATGCCCAGGGCTTAGTAAGTACACTGTGGGAGCCAGAGAGGAGGATCTAGACCAAACCAGAGCTATACTCCCTCAACAACCAGGCTTAAGGTTATCACAAGTAGTTCCCAGACAAGAACGAAGGGGGAGGGGGGAGGGGGAGGCGCAATATGTACCATATATGCTTGCTTGTAATATTTTAGATGTCTTTATAAAACACCTACTTAACTCATGGGGAACACACAAATAAACTACAAGATTTAGGTATCCAGAGTGGAGAGAAACTATGAAATAACTCCCAAAAACACACACACACACATACATACACACACACAGTCTGAAATTGTTTTTATATTTTTATTTATTAAAAAAAAAAAGATGGTGCTGGTGGCACCATCCTAGCTACTCAGGAGGCTTCAAGGTTCAAGGCCAGCTTGGGCAGAAAAGTCCATGAGACTCCGTCTCCAAAATAACTAGCAAAAAGATGGTCTAGAGGTGTGGCTCAGATTGCCTATCTAGCAATCTTTGAAGCTAAGCAAGTCTGAAGCCCTGAATTCAAACCGGATTATAAATATAAACCTAAAAACAATTAAAAACAAAACAAAACAAAACTCCAAGATCCTCGAGATCTTGGAGAAGCAGAGCCAAGACCGTTTCAGGTTTTCCCATCTGGCCCACACAGCAAGGCTGCCATGAAAATGAATGACAAGTCTTCGTATAGAAACAAATCAGCCCTACGGTCAGCATGAATAGACCATCTATGAGAAAAAAGGACCAATAACAGCTAAAAGATCTCCCCAAAGTCACTAGCTCTGAGTAACCAAACCAGAACTAGTATTCAAGGTCTCACTGAACAGCAGGGTCACTCTAGTCTCCCACACAAAGGGAGCGACTCTTCCACCTCAGCAAGAGAGCTTCCTAGGCTGTTTGGGGGGTTGAATTTAATAAGGAAGAAACTGAATAATCTGACAAATATGGTTACCAGAGGTCAATGGGCGAAAGAAACCATGAATGCATTACAGGCACTAGGAAATCTTCACTTAAAACACCTCTAACCTTTTACCCCCAGGTGAGAAGCATCTCAAGAGTGTGCAGGGATACTGGCCCTAAATTGGGTCAAAGGAAACAGGAAACATACTGCAACTACATTATGCAAAAATACTTGTACTGTGATTCCATTTTAAGTAATCTGGTTAATTTTGGCTACTAGTACAGGAATCATGACCATAACATTTGGACTGGATCCAGCTCTTAAAATGC